GTCCTTTCTTCGGTTGTTGGTCTTTAGATGCGTGTTTCCATACCAAAATTTTTACATACGTTGGGAAACATCTCACCTGTTGGTGGCATGAATTCGAGTCAGACGTTCCTCTCTTTTCTCTCACATTCTCCTGCTGCCCTTTCGCATTCGTCGCTTGCATTCACTTTTTATGTTTGTGACCATGATCTTCGAAAAAAATGACAACAGTTTTAGAAAGTATCTCCTTAGGTAGACCGTTTCTTAAGGAAGTTGAAGTACAGCATTTATGTCGGTGGAATTCGGTTAGATCTATGTTCAATGATGTCCGCGTTGAGCTCAAGATGGCTCAGTGGTTAGGGCAAGAACTTGATGTCCGGAAGGTCCGTGGTTCGAACCGATCTTCGGTACCTCAACTGCTCCTGTTTCTAGGCTTGGGCCACCTGGCATTATCTCAGCCCTCAAGGCTTCCTTCAAGTTGCACGGCAGCTGGACTCCAAAAAGGTGTCTCAGCCGCTATATTCTCATTTACACACGGATTTGCTTTTGACAGGAGACTCAACTGAATTTGACCGAATATCGCTTTCAGGATGGTCTACTCCGTCTCATGTTTTATTTGGTACAATGTTCGGAGTATCGCGACACATTAATCATAAGGTTTCTGGGTTCAAGTAGGACACAATAACTGATGGAAACTTGGGGTCTACGCCTACTGATGGGCCGCAAGGAGGGTGAAATCGGCCGTGGACTGTTGAAGGGATTTCAGTAGTATGTCAAGACCGCTAGATTCTCTCGGATCTGCAGACCCGGCTCATTTGGCTAAAAGCCGGTCATCAAATTGATAGATTCCTCAACTAAAATAGGGTTGCGCGGACGATCGAAATCAAATAAGTATGCCTCCAGCAAGTTTTTTTGCTAATTCCGAACGAAGTGGTAGTCTTCTACTCATCAGATCCAAGGCATAACTTTGAACAAATTGCACTGGCAAATTCATGGGCGGTGATGGACAGTTTGGAGTGTGGTTTTACCAAGGATCATATACCTGCCAGATCCGAAACCCACCGCCAGTTGTTCGTTGAGAAAGCATACCGATCTAATTGACGGGTTTTTGGAAATACTGGACCGTAACAAAGCCAAGCCGAACATTGCTTCCTTGAAAATTGAATTGCTGCAATGGGTAGTTCCACATTTCAAGCGAGAATAACGGATAAATTCGGAAATGACTGTTTTTTCTCCCCACGCCATGACGTCCAATGTCGCAGTCATTTGCGTCACGCAACTTTGTATCAGCAAACGATTAGCGTAATTGATCCAGTTTCGTGTGAATAGACAAAACCCTTATCTGATTACCGCTGTTTGCTTGTCAATTTACCTGATGTTTCACTGATGTGCAGGTGTGCTGTGGTCCTTGATGTCCAAATTACCAGCGAAGACGTGCTCATTCCCACGGAGTTTGTTTACTGTGATAAAAAAAAGAGAATGGCAACAGCAGTTAGCTACAGGTGAATTCATTGAACCGACTTGAATGGCACTCACGAATATACCATCTTGTTTCCACATCATTTTTCAAAAGATCACATAAACGTGGTAAGTCGTTTTCTAATCCAAAGTAGGTCAGATACCTGAATAAAGTTTGATAAAGCGGAAATACGACGTTGGCTGCCTGGATTCAGTCGGCCATTGTGTGCTAGGGTGGGTTATCAAATGTTTGGCCGATGGGGAAACCTGCATGGATTTGGGTCGAGCCTAGGGCCTATTTCTTCCGGCTAGGTCCACTTGATGAACGTCGTTTGCAATTTTTGTCCGTCTGTGAGGATGAGCCAGTGCTAGGATAGTTGTGTAAGAGGATGCTGTGAACTTTAGTCTGGTTAGGATTTCTACCCCCCTGTTTTTGCTAATGACAACCACGTGACAGTCACGTGTCAACTCGGCATATCTAAGACCTCTCTTATCATACACTGGCCAATTCCACACCCTCGATTCTACGCACGCTGTGATGCTTGATGGCTTCCACCGCCTTGGCTATCAGCCGCTGTGGTGTGAATCGCAGTCCCATCTTAAAACTTCCACATTCCTCAGATCTATCCTGCCTTTTACCAACATCGATGAGTCTCTGACTAGCGTTTGTTATTCTTCCGCATTCCTTGGTGGTTTGTTTAACCTCCTTTTATGCTCACTAATTCCGGTGTGCAATTCCCTGGTAGTTTGTCCCGTAATGCAATCGTTGCAGACGAAAACGATGTCTAAACTCGAGTTAATTTTCGCCTCCGAACCCCCTCGGACAGTTCATTTCACCTTAGTCTCCATTTCACCTTGGTATAAACAATGAAGAGTCTATTAATTCCGTTGACACAATTTTCGGTCAGGCTATGGATCACAAACGAAGATGTGGTCATCCGTCTCCGACACGTTCGGCTATTACAAGTCGGTTTCATCTGTGTGCGTGTGCCGATCACACACAGCAAGTGACGGTTTGGAAATTGGCAGTTTCGAGACTATACATTCGATCAAATGCGCAGTTCTAGCGATGCTCGAGGTCCAGTTCAAATCGTGACCGGTGGCGCCTATCCACCTTAATGTGAACAACGATCTTGAAGGGGGCGAAAAACGCAGATGTGATAGGCCACTGCGAGAAGGAAACAATGGCTCTACGGAGGATGAATAGTTACACTGAACAATCGTCAGTCATTTACGCAGTTCTACAGGATATCTAACCGAATTTTCGATTTCATGCAGGAGAGCACGAACTCCACCTCTATATTGATTTCATGACGGACAGTAAGAAGTGTGCCAGTGTACCCAAGTGACCTGTAAAACCATTCTATGGCTTTCGCGCTCTAACCACTGAGCTGTCTCGCCTCCCAGGAAGGAGGAACAGACGCAACACCCGGTATTCCCAGCCGGTCACCCATGCAAGTACTAACTGGGCCCAACGTTGCTTAACTTCGGTAAGCAGATGAGAACCGGCGTTTCCAACATGGTATGGTCGCGGCCTAGACATGGATGCGAATCCCGGCTTTTTGGCCGGGAACCGAGAGCTAACACTGTGACTTATAGATAGAAATCTGATCTCAACTTTGTACTTTCTAAGCAACGGAACTCTCGTAGAAACTATGGCTGACAAAAAATTTCCGTATCTCGTGTAGAGTAGAACAGCGGGGTCATTA